TATACAAATACAGGCCATTTCCCATTTACCTCAGCTCAGGTAGAGATAGCAGAAGGAAAATACAAAAAATACAAAACAAATAAGATAATACACTACATACAATGGCAGCAAACGCAGAATGTGATTATGGATACAGGGTTGTGGAAATATGCAAGAAATAAATGTAACTATTCTACCATCACTATTACTAAGTAAGTCATAGATATCTATAAGTATGTATAAGTATAGACACTGGTCCAGTATGGTTGCACATCTTAATATGTTTATGATATGTGCACTAAAAATAACACAACTTTTCCACTCCACATGTTGGCGTTATTATTACCTGGTTTCAGTGTGTTGATTATGTGTCCAAAGAGGGGCTGTTTACACCAAGCTTTCAGCTACACAAGTAAAAATGATGAGAATATGTTAAATTTGGAGTCAAATGGTTTGCTCTTTTATTCTTTCTTTTTTTCCTACTTGATAACTGACCACATGATGGTGCGATTGTCCCATCGTACTGTAAGTACAGAGTATGGCTGTGAACTGGAAAAAGATGGAGAGAAAATAGATATTTTAAAGTGCCTAATGTGAATCAACTGGAAAGTAGAAGCTGAAGAGAATGGAGAAAGTAAGTAAAGTGTCAGGAATGACATTGTAAAAGAAAACCAGAACAGGAGACTGACATCAATAAAGAGCTGATAGCTCTGCTTACAAGTCTCTGCAATACTAATTCCACACATAACACATAACTTTCAGGCTCTTCCATTTACTGATCACTACTGTGTCTTAAGATTTTATTTGAATTTGGATTTAAAAGGAGTGTTTTAGTTATTTTAAGTGAACCAAACAATTTCTAGAAATGCCTAGAAAATTCCTACATGACAGGTTTTTATTAATCATTCATAAAAGATGAACTAACTCGATCTTATACTGTAAAACTGATAATTATCAGCAGGAGAAAAAAGCTGTCTATTGTTTGTTTACTTTTCCTGCACAGATTTGATTCATATTTTTTCTCTTGTTGATCCATGTACATGGACATATGTAATATTAACATTTGAATGGATTCATGTTTTTATAACTAAAGAAAACTATATTTTTATACCTGAATATGCAGTGATTTTTCCATTGTATATAAGAGGTAGCTGATACTTTATTATTCATCTTTAAAATTAGTCATTGGTCGTTGTTATTAATGTTCCTGTGATATGATCTGAATGGATTGTTTGCCAGCAAAGTAATCAAATACGATCATTGTGGTAATACAGATCTGGGTTTAATGATACATGACATTCAAACATATTTTCAAAGAAACCATTCTCTACTTGATCAGGACGAACAAGAAAAGTAGATGTATTAAAGACATTCTTGTAGTGGGCGATGGTGCCAGACACCCCCCCTGTACTTGCTGTGGTTGTATAAAACCATATGTTTGGGAAACCTGCAGTCAATATTTAAACATGTGAGTTGGAGCAGGAAAATGTCTAAAATATTTTTTATTAGATTAACTTTGGAAAGAGAAACTAACTCAAACCCATTTTTATTACTGTCTATTATCACATGTATGTAATCCAGATATAGATGCAAATATAAAAACATTTCAACATTGTAAGTCAGCAGTTTTAGAAACACACACACACACACACACACACACACACACACACACACACACACACACACACACACACACACACACACACACACA